GTGAGAGTTTGCCACCGAGCCTGTTAAGAAACTTGGTTGTTGATGAATCATCCTCCCTCCAATTCTGATGCCACTCTCCTCCACATAAAGGTCAGCCTCTCAAAAGATCTGTCCCTCAAACAGATTCAAAAGGTATGATGGAGATGAGATGCATCCCTGACACATTCCCTTCCTGATTCTGAACCACGCAGTGTTTCCTTGCTGTTGTGACAAACGCCTCCTGGTCCAAGTATACTTTTTGCCTGAGCACAACTAGGTGTTCTGGGATTCCCACTATTTTCAAGGTTAGACACAATTTGTTATCTACACAGTCAAATACCTTTGTGTAATCAATGAAACACAGATAAGACATTCTTTTGGTACTCTCTGCTTTCCGCCAAGATCCATTTGACATTGGCAACAATGTCCCTAGTACTAAGGCCTCTTTCAGACCCAGCCTGCATATCTGGCAACTCTCTGAAGCTGTGTGTTTCTGGATAATCTTCAGCAAGATTTTGTTTGTGTGTGATATCAGTGATAACGTTGCTATGTGCTGTCTACCTTGCGTACATTAGCTCTGAACCCTGCTCTCTCCTGTGTCAATCTCACGGTCTCCAACAGATCTAATCCCATTTATCCAGTCACTGAGTAGAGCCATCACAGATGGGTCTTCCTCTCTTGCACCGTCTCACCAATCTTCCAAGCACAGTGTCCTTCTCCAAGGACTGGTCCCTCTCAGACAGGCCAGCATCTACATCTCCACCCAGAGTATGTTAGACAGAGCTTAAAAGACTTGCCCCAAAGGAGCATTTTAGTATCACCCTCTCCTGGACAGACTTGTTTGACGAGAATCCATGGTATGCTCAACACTGTTCTATAGCACCACAATTCAAAGATATTGATCCATCTTCTATTATCCTTAGTCACTGTCCAGTTCTCTAATGCATAGCAAGTAACTGTGAAGACCACAGTACATTTTACTCTAAACTGACATGTCACCCTTTGGTACTCTAGAGAGGTTCCTGAAAGCAGACTTTCCCAACGTAATTCGTTTTCTGATTTCCTGACTGCTGGTGCCAACAGTGTTGATGTGGGGCCAAGCAAGTTGAATCTGTTAACAATCTCAGTCTCTTGAGTCTATCATGAAGCTGCCAACTGGCCTAGTGGTGAGATTCTTTGTTTTCTTGATGTTGAGCTCCAATCCATATTGACTGGAAGGACTTGACCTTCTGCAGCAAACACCTTATGTCCTCCTCAGATTTAGCAAGCAAGGTTTGCGTCATCTGCATAATGCAAACTGTTGATGAGTCTTCCTCTAATAAGCCACATTCCTCTTCATAAAGCCCAGCCTCCTAAACGATCTGTTCTGCATACAGACTGAACAAGTATGCGAAGAGGCTGCATCTCTGATGGACTCACTTGGCATTTCTTAAGCTGAAGGAACTAAACAACAAATTTAAGCCTTGAGTTGCAATACTCAAAGGATGCTGAGGGCAGAATGTCGAATGACCCGGGAAGTATCAAAAAAAGATGGAAGGACTACACAGAGTCCCTGTACCACACAGAATTAGCTGACACAGAAGAATTTCATGAAACAACATATGATTAAGAGACAATGGTGAAGAAAGAGGAAGATCAGGGTGCTCTGAAGAAACTGACAAAAAACAAGGTCTCAGGAACTGATGGAATACCAACTGACATATTTCTGCAAACAGATGCTTCCCTGGGCATGCTCGCCAGGTTATGTCAAGAAATCTGGGGACAACTACAACGTCAACTGACTGGAAGAGATCCATATTTATTCTCATTCAAAAAAAAAAAAAAGTGACCTGACAGAGTGGAAATCATCCATGTTATTACTAATATCCCATGCAAGCAACATCCTGCTGAAAGTGATCCAAAAAGACTATGTATTAGGGATACTGTTCGATTATTTGCACACTCTATCAAATTACCCTTTTTTGGAATGGGAATGAATATGGATGTCTTCTTGTCAGTTGGCCAGGTAGATCACCTTGTTAAACTGACCTGCAGAGCAGGCACCAACAGATGGCTGAAGGTTTTCAGAGGATGTAAATGGCATGTGAGGAGACGATCCACCTTTCCCTCCTGGAGGAGCTGGTGAATTCAAGCCACATGCCTGAGTTGGCAATGCCACCCCTTACCACTAGGCCAGTGGTTGTCGTGGACCATGGAGCTGGAACCAACCCACAGCTGACCCTCTGGCAGGTTTTCAGAGGCAGTTAATCAGGGCAGAGACTGGCCACCCTTCTCCCGGGGAGCAGCTGGTGGCCTCAAACTGCATGTCTTCAGGACGGCAGTGCAGCTTCTTGCCAGTAAGCCACCAGAGCTCATTCCTGGCCATTGCTGTTATTTGCCATCGAGTCTCCTAGGACTCACAGCAACTCCATGGACAATAGCTCACTGACTCCGACACACCCACCCCCACAGCCCCAGTTACTGTATCAGTCCATCTCATCTGGGGTCTTCCTCTCCTGTGCCATCCCTCAGTCCTTCCAAATACTACGTCCTTCTCCAAGGACTGGTCCCTCCTGGCCATGTGCCCAAACATATGACACAGAGCTTCAAAATCCTAGCTTCCAGGGAGAAACTTGATTTTACCCTCTCCAAAACAGCCCTATTTGATCTCCTGGTGGTCTGTGGTATGTTCAAGACTCCTCCAGCACCACAACTCAAAGGCATCAATTCTTCTTTCTGTCATTTAAGCTAGATCTTTAGAATCCTAACTAATGTTACCAGATATAGGAACTCATGAGGAGAAAGAAAAAAAAAATAGTTGAAATACAGAATAAGAAGCCAGGATCAGCTGTTCAAGAAATTCTACCACACAGCAACCAAACCCAAAATGATGACTGTATTTTTCCTCACACAGCACGTGTATTGCACAACGCTGCACAGCACACAACTCCCTGCTCATCACCTCCCATGTGCACGTACATGAGTGAGCGTGTTATCTCTGTGTGTGTGTTAGCCCAAAAAATACAGTAATGCCCTAGTCATGGACCCTGGAAATCAAGCATCCAGGAAACGTTGAAATCCTTGAGTAGCTAAGATCTACTCTATTCCTGAGACTGTTTGCAAGCAGCATAAAAGAACAGTGCCACAGATGCAATCACAAGGGCACCTACACAATGGGCGTGGTCAGCAGAGTACAAACATGCCCAATAACCACTCACCAGGACTTTGGGGCAAAGTTACTGGTAAAAGTTTTTTAAAAGGCGCACGTGATCTGTATAAACAAAAACTGTCATGGAAAATTTACTAATGAAAGTAGACTACCTAAATAGTGTTAAATGGTATTATGGCTACACATAATGAAATCAGAAGACATGCATATTTATGAAGTACAAATAAAAGTAAGTTCTAGAAGGAGAAGTAATCCTTGAAACAGTATGAAGGAAAAACAAGCTTAGACTGTCCACAAGCAAAAAAAGAAAAGTTCTAGTCTTAGGGTCCTGAAAGTAAGATCGACATACAACTGTTCATAAATTAAGTGTATCACACACAAGTCTCAAACGGAGCTGGTCTGGGTATTTAAGCAGAATACACACACACACACACACACACACACACACACACACACCCCGCCCCTTGGGAGACAGCCACTGACAAGCCGCGGCCAGCAAGCAGTTATAGTCACTGTCATTTTCTACATCAGTTTCACAGAAAGACCAAGTAATCTGTCAAATCCTTCCTTACCACGAGGCTAGTTATATTTGGCCCAGTTTGTTTCCTGGGGGCTCATTACTAAACCAGACATATCTAAATGTATCAACAAAGAAACCACAAAGGAAGTATAATATACAGAACAGTAACATTTCTCGAAGTACCAAGATGATTCAAATAAAAGTTCCATGAGGAGTTTTTTGGTGTCCATCAGATCTCTTTTAAAAGGTAAAACACGAACAATATGGTAAAATGATAAACAAATCAAATGATGAAGACACCCATCACCACTACTGGGCTGAGCCTACTCACGTGGAAACACCACTTAGGAAGTATGCTTCATCCATTTAGAAAAAAGTCAGGAGACGGCAGAATCCTGTAATTTATTTTGCTTAGAAGTACCAGAGAATATAAAATTAGACACCTGAAAGTCAGATTTTGAGAAGTTATTACATACTAGAGGGTGTTTGTCCAACTTATGTCAAAATTTCTATTTTTCAAAAGCACTGGTACTTTGAAAAAAAAAAAATCACAAAATTCTTGCAAGATACTGCAAATCCTAAATTTGCCTGCTACCTCTGATATCATCGAATTAAAAAGTTTCATCTCCCGGTTATACAGAGGCACCAATAAGGTTGTGTGTCTTCCCCTATCGCTATGCACTTGCTCAGCTTTGGGTCATTTCGGGATTGCACCCATCAGAAAAGCAATACTCTCTCCTCTCCTACTTGTCCTGCACAATCACTGCACACAGACGTTTCCGATCAAGAGACGGAATCTTTCAACCCTCTTCCTGCACCTTTCTCACTTACTTCATTTTTTTAAAATGCCATGAACGTTATTAAATACGTGAAAAAAAGGGGAGGGATATTTTATCAGATAAATTTAACTTCACAAAACGGTGTCAATGAATTTATAAGTAGCCCAGTTATTCCTATAATTAGGGTTTTCTGGCTAACTTACTATCAAACGTCAATGTAATTATGGGACAAGAAGGTAGTTACTGAAAGACATGTCTAATTAGTACGAAGAAACAGGGATGAAATCAAACCTCATTCTTGAGGACGACACTCATCGTGTTTACCCCTGGGCTCTAGAATCAACACCATCGCGCTGGAGAGTAACCAGGAAGCCAACGCACAAACCCCAAAAGATGTCACTTCAACAAAACCCAGGGTAAGTTGCAAAGCACGAGTCCTGCCCAACAGACCTCTTCTCCACCCTGTAACCTAGTCAGGTATGCATCATTTCACAGTTGAAACAGTAAAATACATCCCTCCCCCCAATACATCTATCAGTTATAGATGATAAAGCAGGAAAAAGAAAAATCTCACCCCCAATAGTACTCTCTTGAAATTCATGAAATTGGCCCTTCACAAAACGGAGCACTAGGCTTGACTTGCCAACAGCAGACTCTCCCAGAAGTACTAGTTTGAACTGGCATATTTTATTTCCAGTATTTGGCCCGTTGGGTCTTGTTGCTCCACGATTAGCCATGTCCAGGTTTGAAAGAAGTCCCTAATTCAGACTCTTAAGTGAATTTCCAGGATGCAAAGTGTTGATTTTTCTCTCTCTGGAGGTAGTTACCTGTAAAGAAACAAACATCAAATAAATAAATTTAAGAAATGGTGAAACAAGGTAAGCCTAATATTAATTATTTCAGTAAATTTTACCTAAAGTGTATTATTTTGTGCCATTTACAAGCTCTCTAGACATTCAAAAGTTATTTAGTTCTATCAATTAACTATCTCTTTAATGAAATCATTGGCAAGAGCTCTGACTTTAAACCACTTTGTAATTTTCAGGGCATTTTATAAAACACAACCATTTATTACAAGTTCAACTTTGTGCCAAGTACTGCCATAAGTACTAACACAGATGTTTAGCAATCTTACAAAGTTAGCTACCATTACAATCCTTATATATGAGGCAAGGCCAAGTGCCTTGACTGAGGTCACATATTCAGGGTGACAGAGCTGCAGGAAAGCTGAGCTTCAAATTCAGAGGTGGCTCAGAGTTCAGATCCTGGAGCCAAAGTAGGGGGATTAAAATAGCTTTAAAATAATTAATAAATGGAAATATCTTTGGACAGATCCTGGCAGTCCAAAAGAGCTCAATAAATGCTAAATTTGAAAGCTACTGTCAAATGGTGCAGTGTATACTTCTTATTAATTAATAGTCATTCTGGAGTAACACAGATTTGAATGTTTGTGGCTAAAAGACTTAAACTTCCTCCCTTATCTTCCCAAGACTATCAGACATAGAAATATTAACAGTAGTTCTCTTTGTGGTAAATGATTAGTGACATACTGACCAACACTTTTCTATAATATCAACCATTTAGCAACACATTTGAAAACAAACAAACAAACAAACAAACAAAAACAATCTGACTGGCAAATTTTCATTTACTGGAATCACTGTCTAATAATGCTACTGTGCCCCTCCCAACTTTAGTGTATGTGCCGACCACACAAGTACAACGTGACTTTTCAATCTCAAAAGGCATCAATCTGAAAAAACCATTTCATTAAAAAAAAAAAAACCTAATCAGAACCAAGGAAAATAGTTTCTGCCCGTCATATATGAAAATTTGATTAAGTGCTTTCTAATAAAAGAAATTAAACTTTAAGATGATTCTCCCCCAAAGTGCCATTCTTTTTAACTTAGCCAACCCTCTGTGGGAATTTGCTATACCATACACGTTTGTATGAGAATCACTTTTTATAGTCAAGATATTAAATTATGCCTGAAGAGGAAGACAATGAAATCACCTGATTAAACACCTAGATAAGTCCTTATCAACACATACAGAAATATATACAGATGAAATGACCTGATGTCTGAGCGGTGCTTCCCACCAATCAGAGTATAAATAAAACAATAAGGCCATCAGACAATTGAGTGTGGTTCCCGGTACTGGTCTCTCTACTTTTGGATGTTTTCCAAGGAAAGAGGGAATCCCTATTTCACAAAACACATTATATTTGACTGGAGGTCAAATCCCACTTGTCACTATCTCTCACGAGACCAATTCCTGAATTTCAGTATCTCCATTTCTGCAAATCTAACTTGCAGAGTTGTGAAAATGAAATATCGATGACAATGGACAACACACAGTAGGGAGAGAGGAAATCCTCATTTCAAGTGGCTATATGATGAGATCATTAAATATCAATACCATTATGCAGACTAAAAAGGCCCCATCACACTTTCAAATAATATCACACAGAGTAACAACTGAAACACTCCCTAATTACTCCCCTTTATGTAATCTACAGAACAACAATTAGTTATCAAGGGCGGCATACTGAAAATGTTCACAGTATTTGCAAAAACATCAGTGAAACGTCCAGATTCTCGGAGGGAGGGGGCGCGCACATCAACCAAGAATCTGATGGGAGTTATCTTTTCGCCTTGTAAGGGTCAAGATGACTGCATTATAGCAAAGGCCTCCGACGGGAAACGGCAAACAACATTTAGGCAGAGAAGGGGTGGGCCATCTTCTCCCCTGAAAACGCGCTGCAGGGTCAGCTATAGGTCGGTTCCCCCCGTCTCGATGGCACCCCAAAAGCATCACACAGATGGCAGGGGGACACTGAGTTTAAAATCACTTTATGCACAATCACTGCTGGCTGGGAAGTTTCCACCAGGAGTGGACCTGGGCGGGCTCACGATCCTTTTGAGAAGCACCAGCAGTGACCACTGACAGTCCTTCTGGGGTCCTTGGTTCGCGTCTCCCGGGCACCTGCTCAGCGCCAGGCCCAGCTCCACACCCTCTGCTCGCAGCCCCGCAGGGAGCACAGGGTGTCATTCCCCCACCCCCAATGGGTTGGAAACAAAGTTTCCCAGCCGCTCGATACTTAGTGACTGTTTCCTCCTCTAGGAAGTGAGAAAAGCAATCGGCCCGGCGCTAGGGTCCCACTTCTAAGCCAGACAAAAGGGGGAAGCGCCTGCGGGGTGGTCGGCGGTCCCGTGTCCCCGTCCAGGGCCCCGCCGAGCCCCGCGTGGACGCCCCCCGTCCTCTTCCCCGCGATGACCGGGGCTGGACTCAGGACGGAGGCGGGGTCCCCCG